AACTGGAGAGTCTATTATATGTATTTAATACTCTAGGTAACCAACTCAGCACGTACAGGAATAAAGGTTAAGACAACTACGTGCTTCACAGTAATGGCCTGGAAGCTTTTCCTCATTTCAAAGCAGTCACTTTAGACCTTTCCTCAGAACAGAAGGATGACAAAAACTGATAAATGAGAAGCAGACAAATAGACAACAAGATACTCTTTCAACAAACAGTTTTATTCCTATTTTAATGAGAACGTGTGTAAGATATATAGATTTTTTTACCACAGTTACAAATACGAAAATATATTAAGCAAATACTTAATTTAAATAGAAAGACTAATAAGATTCTTTGTTCAAATAGTTGATTAGAAGTACAATACTGTATATAGTATGAAAAATAAAATCATTTACTGTCATTTTAGCCAGATTTTCAGAGAAAGAATAAATGATATTAAAATATAAAAGTGCTCTATTATAGAACATCATAAGTTCAGTGGTTGCTGGGTTTATTTACATTATTTATGCTTCACATAAGTCAAGAGATAGCCAGATGAACCTCCATGGATAATAGTATCATCAGACACTGATGACCTAATCTTCAAAGAATCGGGCCAGGAGTAATTTTCACTTAAAAAGTATATGTAAAATGTCTATGAGTTCTGCTAATTTCTACAAGGTAGGTGTAGAGAAGAGATTGAAGACTTGGTCCTTCTCCTTGAAGAATTTATAAGCTTGATAGTCCTGCATGGCAGACCAGAGATCAAGTACTTATCAAGTAAGAGCATTGGTGCACCCTCTTGTCACTGTGGCTGAGATTAGGAAATTACAAAAGACTGATGCAGAGCCTCGAATTACAACAACTTGCAGAATGCATCACCGTCCAGCTCTGCTACAAACTCCTAAAGCCACAATTTTATGTGTTCTTTTCTTGATGAGATGCTTATCTATACACATAGCTATTACAACACATCTCAAAACTGAAAGCTTGCTGTTGGGGTGAAGTTAGCATTTCTTAAGAGAAATTACTTGAAGCAGAAAACAACCATAACTAACCCTTCTTGTGATTATCCTAGAAAGGACTCATTGCATTTGTCTGATATTATTCACAGTTTTGAATAACTTATTTTGGTGTCTTATATAAGATCATGTGCATTGGCATATAGGTTATAAAAATAATCTTTGGTAAATCTGTTAATAGATTTTTATTTCCATTACATCAACTTCTATTTTAGGAGGATTCACTAACAGTTTCCTTATTTAATGAATGAATATATATAGACAAGCTTTAAAATTTTTAAAAATGCCTTATTTGTGTTGTAACATTTATTCTGAGAGAGCCTCCCTTCAAGTTAAGAGTATCCTTTTAGCCAGAAATACGTATTTCCATTGCTAGAAACATTTTTAGAACAGAACAGATTTTTGCTGTTATCATGGCTGCATCAAATGTTACCCTGCATTTTAACTAAAATGGCCAAACATTTTCAAAATCATCATGCATTATAAGAATCTAAGGCAGTGTGTCTGGAATGCCAAACCCAGTAAATTTAGTCCAACACCTGGTCAAGTCACAAAACTAAGTAGAGCTATTCAGTTGCTTAATGAGTTAAATCATCTGGCCAATGTACTAAAGTATATCCCCCAAAGGGCAATGTAGCCTAGCAGAAATATAGAGCAAGATAACTAAAGTCTGGCCACACAGAAGGGATACCATTCTGTCTTCCCGCTAATGTCTCGTTAGATTCCTTTTTTTCAAATAATTGTCCTCCTTTGCATAATATTATTTGCTTTCTAAGCCATGGTTTACAGATTTTCCTTTGATATGAAACATTTTTTGTATACTTAATATGATTCTAAATCTCAAGTTAAAAATATTTGGAAAAGCAACAGAGGATTTGGCTAGACACAGCATTTTCTACACTGACTCTTCAAAAATGAGGTAGGATTGAGGCCTGTTCACCACTACTTGGAAGAGAATTGGTTGTTTCTTCTTACCACTCTGTCTTGGCTGATCTATCACTTTCATTTCCTCACTAAAATGGAACCCAGAAGCTCTTGAACTGCTACCACAAACAAGTGGCTCATGACCTATTGATTTTTGTCAGGTCAGACAATTTTTGTTTGGTCTGGTTTACTAAAACCTCAGAGTGTCTCAGAGTTGGGGCTCAGATACTACCATTTGCCACCATATAGATCTGGTTGCTGTATGATTTCAAGATTCTACCTCAAAGAATTCTTAGAAAGCTAAGTGAGTGAGAACTTAGTATCTGGCCAATAATTTTATTGCAAAAGATAAGGGTGTTTAATATTGGGTTGTTGAGTAAGTCATGACACATGTTTGCATAGAAAAATACATCATGGCTTTCCAGAAGACCTAATATAATAAATGGGGACTAGCAGGTGGCATAATGATGAAGGCATTGGACTCCCATGTGGTCAACCACAGCTCAAGTGTCCGACCTGAGGCTTTAAAATCATGCTGGGTACATGTGCATGCATGCCCAAAATCCTGAGAGGAGAATGGAAGAGAAGGGATTGTGGGTGGCCAGCCCCCTGGGGGTGGGGTGGGGTGATTTCTCACTTCTCACTTTCTCTTTCTATGTCTCTGTTTCTCTCTCTGGCTAGCACACGTGCCCTATGGCAAAAAAAAAAAAAAAAAAAAAAAAAAAAATGCCAAGGCAAGAGAATCAGAGTATGAAGTGAGGTCTATTTTTTTATAGCTGGACACCTGCTACATGGTTTCATATTTTCATATGTTACTTTGGGCTTTCTTCCTAGAAGTAATAACAGAATAAATTAAAGACCTTCCCAAATAAACTTGCCCTCCTTCCATCTCTGTGTGCTGTGGCCATTTCAGTCTTTAAAAGTGAAACTATGGCCATCTCTTTTGTATTGTAGAGTCTGAAAAGACTATGCAATCATACCATTGGGTATAAGGAGATAAGCAGAAGATAAAGTTACATTTAATTGAGTGAGCAAACATATTCAATAAGGAGATACAGAGCAAATAGTGAAGCTCCGAGACTCAGGGGGATTCAGTTAGGGTACCTTGGTGCAAGCCCAGACAAGGAAACGAGTCTTTCAGAAACCTCATTCAAGAGCTGAAAAACTGGCTGCTTTCCAGAGAACAACAGAATGATAATGCAAAATTGATTTAATGAGAAGAGATAAAAGGAGTTAATTATAAAGAACTTGGATAAATAATTATTAAGATGCAAGACAGGACTCTCCCAAGATTTGATAACTCCAAAGCACTTTGAAGCCTTGATTAAAGTGTACCTCACAGGTGCACAGACAGGATACCCACCACGATAGGAAGTGGAGTGTTTACCGAGACACAGCACATGATGTGATTAAGTGAAAATACATCCAATTGAGCTGAATGTCAAGGAAACCTTTTTTTTCTTCCTAAATTTAATAAATAGATCAAATAGATTATATATTTAGTCTTCTTGAGAGCAGGAGGGAATAGTGAAATATTTGTTGCTAAGGAAATTTAAAATTAGATGTAGAGTAGGAATGAGTATTTCCTGGATTGGACCAAAAGAATATACAGTTGTCATTTGTCATGTTCATTTCCTTAATTCTGGTCCCACCCCAGATATTACCAAGGTATGTGAGTATTATTTACAATATGCAGATTTTTATAATAGTTTACATTTCAGGTTGTGCCATTAATTGCTCTCTCTTCTAGATCCAGGGTTTGCTATTAAAGTGGCATAGGTATTTGCCAGTGTGTGGCCTGTAGGGGGTGACCTCTGTCCTAGACTATCTCATCTCCTTGCTGAATTGAAAACAGTAACATCAACCCTAACTTTAGTATTATGATGCATTCTCATTTCATAAACAGAAATGTATAAATTCTGGAATGATGCCTAGCAAGTTGCAGGCACTTAGTAAAAGTTCTATGAATGAATGAAAAATGGGAAGAGTTTTCTTTCCTGTGTTAATGTGCGACCAAGCAACATTGATTTAAAATTTGGTGGTGTTTTTCACCTTTTTAGTGTAGGAGAAATATTCTTAATAAATACCATACTTCATAAATTCTGACCTCCGTTTTCAACGTAGTTATAGTCTGCTACTCTCAGACCTGTTCCTTTTCGTTTCTAGAAGATCTACTTCGTTTTCTGAAACAGAATCAGATCCTAACACTGTTATTGCACAAGGGCATTCCACTGAAAAATTTGAATCTTCTTATTCTTTATATTCATTCACATGAAGTTTCCCTGTTTTTTTAGAAACGTCAGATAATCCCAGAAAATGGTCCAAATAATCCCCGAAAATGGTCCAGATTGGGTTTAGAGTTATATAATTATAAATAAATAATGTTCATTAATTATTTTCAATTATACATATTATGTCACCTAAGGAATTGTATGATAAGGCACACAAATACATACTTTGAAAAGAAATGTATTCTTTCTACAGGTGAAACTGGGGGATCAACAAACATGAGCTCTAATTCCTACCTTTATTAGAGAAAAATTTGTCGTGATAGAAAGGCAGACATCCCCAGCTCATTTTCTCAGTTAGCACCGGGACTTCATACAGATCATGCCTTTCAAATTTTTCTCAGGAAGGCTCTCAGAATGAAATGAGGGCAATGACTACCTTCTGACTTACCAAAATGTGTTAGCTTCAATATAAACTTGGTAGGGTATGCAGTGCTTTCTAAATTAGGTGCAACTTTAGATGACTATTTGACATTTTGACTTCATTGACGTACTAAAAAGTTTTTTGAAACATGTTATACTAAAGATTATTTTTTAAAATTTCTACAGGGCATGTGTGCTTTCCAGAAAAAGACAGTGAGAGAGGAAGAGGAGAGATTACTCCCCATGGAGAATGGACATGCAGCAATTCCTTCTCCTCCATCTCTCCTTCCTTTTGGGATTTTTGGGGCATGTGCACACACGCACCTGGCATGTTTCTTGAACTGCTGGCTCCAGAACTCAAGCCACATGGTCGGCCATGTGAGAATGTGAGATCTGGCTACCTTAACTATCGCCACAGAACTGGCTCCAAGTTCTTATTTTGTTGTTGTTTTTTATGATGATGATGATTATATATATATATATATGATGTTTGTTGACATTTCTGAGGAAATGTTAGTTTAAGGTCCTTTAACCAGGACCATAATCTGCCACCATAATCTTTTAATGGGAAAAAGTATGACTGGGACATACCTGTCATGTTTTAAGAGATGCAGACCCCCGGAAGTGAGATCGAGACAAATGGACTTGCAGAAACCAACACATACATTGCAGAATGGAAATACTTGTTCATGCTGCACAGTATGAAGGCAGCAGAATCCACTCTAATCACTATGGATAGTGCTAACTCCCCCACCCCCAGGGGGTTGGCTGGCATTCTTCTAAACACAGGAAGTCATCATGTCGGTTTGGGTCAGTCTCTATCAGAACCCTCAACCCTGCAGCCTGGGCTTGCACTGCAAGTTATGAAGTTCCTAACCGTGACCACTTTAGCTTGAATCCCTGGCAGGAGAAGGGAGAGAGAGAACAACTAGTTTAGGTGCAGCCACTTGGCTCAGCTTGGATTCTGCCTAATCCTTTACTCCTCTCCCTCTGCTTCCTTTTTGACTGTTCTATTTATCCTAATAGCATGTGGATTGTCTTTGGACCTCAAGACTCAAGGGAGAGTGAAACTAGATGGAAGATGCTCTTTCTATAGCTCTACCTTTTATCCTGTCCAGTGGGTATCAAAATAGCTCTTAGGAACTGTCTCTGCAACAGCCTCCACACACGTTTTACCAATTTTGTCATACAGTTTATGCAGAACAAGCCATAAACAATTTAGTGTGGAAAAATAGTATTATATAAGGCTTAATATTACATTATGAAAAATACATATTTACAAAAGAAAACTACAAAATACAACTATGTACATTAATATCTGTTACCTTTAAATTACATAAAGTCTTTAAAAATCTCCAGATTAATAAATTATACATAGTATCAACAGAAATAACTGGCACCTCTGTAGGGCATGAAGTAATTTTTTTAATCACACAGTGAATAATCTTTATCCAGATTTTCAGGTACATTCTTAATGCCTTGAATAGACTGCATCTAAAAGAAAGGACATTGTAATTAGAGATGGTACCAGGATGTATTGTAATTGTTTGTCAAGTTTATAAACATCAAAAATAGGAAAGACTAAGAGCAATGACTAAAACTCAGTATGGATTAGGATAAGACTATGTCTGTGAGGGCCAGGTAATTCCATTTAGAAACTCAGATTATGGGATTTGGAGAGGACTAGTGATTCTAGTCAATCCCCTCTGGTTTTACAGATGAAGTCATAGGTGCAGAGAGGCAGAATAACTCCCTCAGGGTTACACAGCTTGTTAATGCTAGTTAGTTCCAATGTGAGTGCCTGAATCCTAGACTTCAGGTGGTTATCCTTCTCTATACCATAGTTAGCTTCTTTCAAGAGCACCAAAAACTACTCTTAAAAAAGACTCTCAAGTCAAAACAAGACAAAGGGAACTCCAGGATCTCCCAGAACACCCTCCATCCTGGAGCTCCTTAAAGAATCTGACATGCAAAAAGTTTAATATACTATACAGATAAATTAGGGGTAATTATTTACAATGTAAAAGGGTGACCTGATTTATACAGGATTCCTATAAATAGTACAAGAGCTTTCTATTTGTGCTTCACAGATGATTAACTCTAATATACTGGCTAGGCAGTGGGTACAGAGGACTGGATGGGTACGCAGAACTAAACAAAATATTAGGAAACAGTGTCAATTGAAGATGTTTAGAAATGGAGATAAGACAGGTCTAAAGTAATGTTCGTCAAGAAAAATGATCTGATTTATGGAGGGATATCAGTCCATGATTGCCAAATTATTCTCCCAACGGTTCTTACAGTCTGAGCTCTCAGTTGTGATTTCAAAGCATCCTCTCAAAGTGAGGTTTATAGCTTGAAAAAAAGTGTTAAGCAGAGTCTTTACTAGAAGGCCTTCTAGGTTAGGTATGAAGAAATACCATGTGAGAAGTCGTTGCTCAACTGTGGGAGCTCCCTCCCCACTGTGCTGCATTTCCCTCTTGCCACTCTTTAAGAGAATGTTCTGGGTAGAAGAAAAAATGGGTGGTGCACATTGGAAGAGCTTTAGGTTATTACTGGTTTCCAGATTGAGCATATCTTGATAAATGAACTGAAAAGTTGGTGAAGTAAGCACCTACCTCTGTGATACTCTGGATTCACATTTTCATAGATTGGAAACAAGGGGTTTTCTTGTTCACTCCGTAGCTTCCTTGCTCTGAGGACGTCTCTTACACACTGATGTAGGTAAACGTACTGACACTACGGAAAAGCAGGAAACATGTCAGTGGAGGGCTTGTTCTCAAGCATAAGAAAAACGTGGGACTTTCACAAAATACTGACAGTGATCGAATTCTACCTAGTTAGCACACTTCTTGATCATCATTTCACTAATGGTCGTTGGTACATAAAAGATTAACTGCTTTTTATTACCACTGAAAAGAGAATAATGGTAATGGGCAGAGAGGTGTGTTTATTCATTCTTTTTATATGCATGCATTTGTGAGTGCATAGAACTTTGCCAGGCACATAGTAGGTCCTCCACAAATTAAAGAGATAATGCCAAACACTGTGCTGCTTACTTACTATAGTTTGAAGGTATCCCCCTACCCAAATTCATATGTGTCAAAATTTGCTGAGCCATTGCAATGGTGCTGAGAGGGTGGAGACTTAATCTGATTATGGTGTAGAAAGCTGGGGCCTTTGAGATGTGAATACACATCCCATGATTGAGAACTTGTGGGTTTATGAGAAGAGAGAATGAGACACATGGACACAGATACACTCTGCCCTGCTCAAGTTCCTGCTCTTCACCGTTTACCAACCAGCAAAAAGACTCTCAACAAATGTGACCCGTGGGCCTTGGACTCCTAAACCTTGAAATGAATAAACCTTTTTTTTTTTTTTTTAAATAAATTACCCAGGCTCAGGTAATTCTGTCATTAGGAACAGAATGGACAAAAACAGTACTTTACATAAATAATCTTATTTAATGATTTCAACAACTTTGCAAAGTACATGTAGTTATCAATAGAAACTAAGACTCAGAAGTTAAGTAACTTGTTTAAGTTAGGAAATGGGAACTTAGGGTCTGATTTTAGGGGTGTGAACTCAAACTTTATGTTCTTTGACTACACTGCTTCTCTTAGATAACGCAATCTCATTGGATTACTGAATGAAAAAAATAATTTTGTGACATATTCTGCTGTTTTATTCCTTTCCTTTTGGAAGTATTGGGAGAAAAAGGAGGTGTGCACAATAAACCCCACTGAACTATCCGTTCTTTGATAGTGTGTTCTCTCTGCATCTGAGTGGCACAAGAAATAATCTCAAAGATATTTCGTGACTGAAGAGAATGAAAGATTTCCAGACTGTGGACAGAGCCCCCTGTCAGTTTTTTTGGAAATGAACTACTTTAGAGATATAAACAAATATGAGGAGATCATGGTAGATGAAGTCTACCATGTTTTGGTACATCATGAAAGACACCACAAAGACCTTCAATGACAACAGTGTTTCAGTTATAGGCAGCTAAACTTTCTTCTACCAACTGAGCTCTCAATAAGGGAATAAATGTCTGTGTAACCTTAGTGCTTGGCCTTAAACTCCTCTTACTGATACAGTAAATGCTCAGAACTCAGAGAGTGGCAGAGTGGGAGGGAGTCAAACACATGTGAGGGAGATTGCGCTCTGTGTCAGCCTCCAGCTGGCCTAGGCTGGATCACTAGACTTTTCAGGATCTCAGCTTTCTCTTCTGCAAAACAAGGAGGCCAAGGTCTCTTCTACAGCTAATATCCTTTGTCTATTAAAAGATACAAGACTATGTTAGAAGGATATTGAAAATCCCTGAATTTAGGTGATCCTTGATGACCACAGTCAATCTTAAAGTGTTTTAATGGTTTGAGATACAAAGTGAGACTATAAGAGCTTATTTCATTAATAACCTTTCTAAGTAGATAAGAATTAATTTTTATGAATTGTGTCTGATTAAAAGCTCACTTGGTTATCTACCCACGGGACTCTGTAAGATAGGTCTGCTATAATTAATATTTAGAACCTTTTATGGAACTAAACAAATGAGGCTTGTATTAATATTAATAACTGTTCTCGGCTTTTCTGCTCACATACTCGGCTCAGTTGTTACGTGTGTTCTAGACTACCTTGACCTTGAGCTTTTTGTTTTAGTTGTTTATTTCTTCCATGAATAAGAAAGACAGAGAGAGAATGAACCGAACAGGATCTTGGTGCCACAATCTATCCCCAGCCTTCGGCCAATCTTAGATCTGGGCACGTATGTGCCTGGTATACTCAGGGAGGTCTCTGGACTCAAACCAGGAAACTTCTCAAGGGGGATTACCTCATAGAGTGTCACATTTTAGCCCTGAGCTGACCTTGCAATCTTGAAATGAGGCATTATTCTGAGAATTTGAGGAGGGTAATAACCTGAAAAGATTCGCTAGTATAAAGCAGTCCACCAAATTGTAGACTGACAACTTCCTCTTTTCTCCTACTCAAACTGCAAAATATATTTAACTCCTTTTTAATTGCCAGAGGACATGTGTGCTTTCCAAAAAGAGTTAGAGAGACAGACAGAGAAGGAGAGAGGGAGGGAAAAAACACCTCCCAAGAAGACATGGTCACATTATAACCCCTTCTCCATTTTTTCCATCCCGTCAGTATTTGAGATATGTACACATATATAGCAGTCGTGTTTTTCAATCCTGCTGGAGGCTGGATTTGAACTGCAGTAGGTCATGTGGTATCTGACTCACTTAACTGTGAGGCTATGGGGCCAGCCCACTCATGTTTTTAATTCTACTGAGATGTTAAGTTACTTTGGGACTTTAGAGGTAAGCTGTGAATGAACTCTCACACATCTATGCTAGGGCCCATTAATAAATTCCTCAACAGTGATCCACCATGGGCTTTGAAATTACTTAATATCCATTAATTTGTCTTGCCTTAAATATAAATTCTTTTCCCAATAGAATGTCCCTTTGAAAATGATTTCTCCTCAAGCTGTCAGATTCTTAATATGCTTCTTTAGATCATAAAAGACTACATTTTGCTAACTGGCAAAGATTTTGCTTAATGTTAACATATTCAGTTCCATTCAATTTCATCAACATTTGTAGTATTATTTGCTATTTTTAGGATATATTTTCATATAACCTATGCATGTCTTCCCAGATAATTTCAATCATCTCTGGATTACTTGTAATTCCCAATACTGAAAATGCTATGTTGTATTTTTGTTTATTTTTATATTTTTGCCATAGAATGCATGCACTCGCTGTGCACTCACTGGAGAGAGATGAGGAGGAATGAGAAATCATCCCTCAGGGAGGATGCCCACACCACAATTTAACCCCTTCTCCTCTCAGGATTTGGGGCATGCCTGCACACATGATTCGTGTGTTTTTCAAGTTACCAGGTCTAGGACTTGAACCACGCAGTTGGCCATATGGGATCAGGGCCTTAAACACTATGCCACCTACCAGCCCTGTTTGTATTGTTTTTTTGTTGTTGTATGTATTGTCATTATTTATTTATTTAATTACTTAAAACATTTTCAGAGGTTTTTGCCCTAGGGCACATGCACTTGCTGGAGAGAGAGAGAGAGAGAAACAGAGACAGTGAGAGGGAAAGTGAGAAATCACCTCCTAGAGGGGTTGGCCATGCTGCAATCCCTTCTTCATTTTCTTCCTGGGATCTTAGGCATGTACACACATGTGCCTGGTGTGAACTTCAAGCCACTAGTTCCGGGACTCAAACCACAGTTGGTCATGTGGGAGTCCAATGATGTAACCACAATGATATCTGCTAGCCCCTAAACATATTGTTGATTTGTGTTTGGTTGAATTCATGGTTACAGAATCAGTGGTATGGAGGGTGGCCTGTTTTTACTCTATAACTTTTCATGGTCTCTGAATGTGTAGTTCAGTAGAAGGGCAGACATGTGGATGAATACTTGTAAGAAGATAAATATGAGATAGAATTGTGTATAAGCCTTCATATAGAAGAGGAGGCCCTTATGCTCACTTTTCGGACAGGGAAGTATTAAGGTAGAGAGAAAAGGTGACGTGTAAGAATTTGAGTCTTCAAGAAGTAGGGCATTCCAAGCGATATAAATAACATGAAAATCATATTCATTCCGTAAATTGGGAGAGGCCTAGTGTAGCTAAAATGTAGATTGCCTGGGTCATGGTAAACTTTTAGGACAGCCCCCAAATGGGTCCTGAGTGCCTTAGTTGTACAACATCCCAGTGTTTCTGTCTCACAAGAAGCAGAGGAGACTGACAGACTGATATCACTTAATGTTCTTAGCAAGTTCTTGTTCCTTCTGAGTGACTCTCTGAGAGTCAGACAGCAAATTTACCCAAAGGCACACTAAAAAGAAGGAGAAACACTCACAAATCCCCTGCCTAATGTCTCTTTTGATATAGTCAACAAAAATTGTGAAGACTTGCATCTTGTGGTATTCCAAATAAAGATAGAAAAAAAGCAGAGGTTACCTGTAATCATGGACCCAGAATAATATGAGGGGTCAAAAGTCCTTCCTTCTTTGCTGGGACAGTCAACCTGCAAGGGTGCCGCTGTGGATTATACCCCTCTGCACTCACTTTCATTACCAAATGATTCAGGTCAACTCGGGGGTCAGGAATTCTGAGACTGGAGAAAAAGCCTAGCTTAAAACAACAGATAATATCTTGGGACACTCACTGGAGAGAGATGAGGAGGAATGAGAAATCATCCCTCAGGGAGGATGCCCACACCACAATTTAACCCCTTCTCCTCTCAGGATTTGGGGCATGCCTGCACACATGATTCGTGTGTTTTTCAAGTTACCAGGTCTAGGACTTGAACCACGCAGTTGGCCATATGGGATCAGGGCCTTAAACACTATGCCACCTACCAGCCCTGTTTGTATTGTTTTTTTGTTGTTGTATGTATTGTCATTATTTATTTATTTAATTACTTAAAACATTTTCAGAGGTTTTTGCCCTAGGGCACATGCACTTGCTGGAGAGAGAGAGAGAGAGAAACAGAGACAGTGAGAGGGAAAGTGAGAAATCACCTCCTAGAGGGGTTGGCCATGCTGCAATCCCTTCTTCATTTTCTTCCTGGGATCTTAGGCATGTACACACATGTGCCTGGTGTGAACTTCAAGCCACTAGTTCCGGGACTCAAACCACAGTTGGTCATGTGGGAGTCCAATGATGTAACCACAATGATATCTGCTAGCCCCTAAACATATTGTT